CTTCTGAAGATGTATGTTGAAACATACGAAACGTCAAGTAAATGAACTTTGTTTTTTAACATGCGTTTTATTGCCATGTTTATCACCGCAGTTTGCGTGCCATTTCTTATCAAGCTACGAAGGCCAAGTAAAAAGAGAATCATTTTTTATTTCATAGGCACTTATACATTTCTCTATCGTTATCGTCGTCATTAACAATATAATTATCATTAACGTCATCGTTATCATTATCATTAACTTTATCGTTATCATTATCATTATCGTCATTAACCTTATCGCTATCATTATTATCGTTATAATTATCACTATCTTTATCATTATCATTAATGTTATCATAAGCTTTCTCATTATCTTTATCGTCATCGTTATCATTATCATTAACATCAAAAAATCATTAACATCATTATCATTATCAATATCATTAGTGTTATCGTTATCATTATCATTAACATTGTCATTATTGTAATTATCTTTATCATTAACGTTATTATCATTTTCATTAACATTATCGTCATCGTTATCATTAACATCGTTATCGTCATCGTTGTCATTAACATCGTCATCGTTATCACTATCATTAACATCATTATCGTAGTCATTGACATTGTTATCGTTATCATTAGCATCACTATAGTTATCATTATCGTTATCATTAACGTCGTTATCGTTGTCACTGACATTATTGTTATCGTTATCATTATCATTAACATCGTTATCGTTGCCATTATCGTTATCATTGTTATTATAAGAATCATTACTAGTAGTAATATAATTATTTTTAATATTATTAGATAAGCCAGGTAAGAGGAAGGCACCGTCCTCTTTCCTCATCCTTTTCCTCTATCTATGAGAGATCGAAACGACTTTGCTCGCAGGGTAGCAGAATGTACTGCCAGAGGTTTTCTTCTTTCTTCCCTTGAAACCAAAAAGCCATTGCGGTCAAATTTAGTGGAGAAAGGAAGGGAAGCATTCCTCTTGGATCCAATTGCCAGGCTGGGTATTAAGGATAAATGAAGCGAACAGAGAATAAATTAATAATCTCCAAACTCGACGACAACACCCCAAGGCTCTGCTCCATTTCATTTCACTAATTATGGCAGTCTCATATACACTCTTGTTTTATACAAGAACCTTTTTTTACAGGAACGTTGAGGCTGAGACTAACCAAAATTTTAAGAACGTATAAAGAACATTCCTCAGGCTGAGAGTCGATTAAGAAAGTTTATATTTTGCTAATTTGTATGTATTAAATGACAAGCATAAAATGAAAGTAACAAAAAAAGTGAAATTGACCCAAATACTTAAGGGCATGTTTTGTATAACATTAACAATGGTTTTCTTATTGCATGACACACATCTCGGTTTGTTATAATCAGCAGTTTTTATTTATAACTGTTCCAAAATATCTTCCATACCATTGAAGTCATCAGGTGATACAAAGTCTGAAGTATTATTAAGCTGGTTGACCTTGTATACCATGTAAATTTAAGAACATCTTGAGAACGTTTTCAGCCCAAATCGCAAAAAAATCTAGAACGTTCAGACTTCAAGAAAAAAAAAAAGAGTGTATCGGACTTCAAGTTTACCTGTACATGCCAAGGTTTAAGAAGGAAACATTGCTCAATCCAGTTCCTTACACTTATTTCCGGTCATTTTCGTCGTTTTCAGGGCCAACCAAAACTTATCTTTGCACGGAAATTTCCAATTGCTCGTTTCGTCCAGCGTCCACAGTTAAGAGCGAAGAACAGAGCTAGAGATAATTCTCGTCCGAGAGCGGTCGTTTCTTTCGTGCGTTTCAAAAAGAAAATAGCTTT